ACAGTATCTCTTAAATTTCCAAAATAAAAACTAAAACAAATAATATATTTACCTACATATATTTATACGCTTTTCTATTTATGAATGTGTGAAGGCTATAGAATAAAGTGTTCATAAAAAGTAATTATAATTAAAATAAGCTCAAAAAAACTAGTAAACCGTGTTAAACTTATTAAATAAAAACCGATTATATATAGAAATCTAATTTTGTTAGTCATCAACGGCCGAAAATGGTACGTCTAGATGTTCTTATACGAGAATTGGTAGACTATGCAACCACAAATGCACAGAAATGTATTTCAGGCTGCCTAACAATTTCTTTAAAGGAGGGGGTTATGGCGAAGACGTAAGGGACGAGGATTTTGAGGTTATGTATGAAATTGACGGAGCTGATGGGTATAGAACCCTCTTAATATTTTTGATTAATGGGAGAATATGCCAGATGGGCGCTTCCGTGATTTCTTCTAGTTTCTTCTTTGAAAAATTAAATATTCAAAATTTAAACAATATAAAGACCACTCTTATTTTGAGCGACTTTAATTTGAACTCTACTGATGTTGATTTTATTTATAAGTTTCTTGAAACTTGTAATACTAATAATATTGCTCTTATAGAAGCATGACAAATCAAAATTGCATTGGTTTGATTATGAGGTAAACAATAAAATTAAAAATAGGGAAGGGCTTACAAGGTGTCTTGAAAATGAAAAACAAAACCAATTTTTAAACAGCATTGAAATGGTGTAGTAAATCTTTTAAAAATAAAAAAGCAGTATTATTTTGTTGAAGTAGATCACTTTAGAAACAATCAGAAAGAAATGTGGGAAACCTTAAAATAACTAATTAATAATAACAGAAAAATATTCCAAACTATATACTACAAAATAGTCCAAAGTTTTAATAAATATAATAGTATCAATAGTAACCAATGACTTATACATACAATTTGAGAAATTTGAAATGCTTTCTATGAATGATCTATGACAAACAGTTAACAATTTGGACAATAAATTCTCAATACACAAAATTTTAAACTATTGGTCATGTCATATTAAATATAGTAAATAAGTCACTACTTAATACTAGCAGAATTCTCAATTCATTAAAAATCTGTAGTAATACCTATTCTGAAAATAATGCGAATGAATTTAGCTTTAGACCAATAAATAACTCGCCTACAATAGAAAAAATTATAGAAATTGCTGTTTATAATCAATTAATGAATCGCTAATAAGCAATCAGCGCTACAACTTACACTTTGTCACATTCATAAAAAAAAAAAAATATGTTGCAGCAGTATTTTTGGACTTAAAATGAGCTTTTGAGGCAATTAACAGGCAAATAATGTTATCAAAATTAAAACAATATGGTATTGGGGATATATTTTTGGATTGGTTTAGTAACTATTTAAATAATTGCAAACAGAGAGTCTGTTTTGCTGACCAAACATCATGTGACATAAAAAATGATATGGGGATTCATACATTAATGACATTGAACTTTTTGTTGATTGGGATGATACTTTAATGGCTTGTAGTGATGCGAATTTGGATAAAGCCATAGAGAAAATGAATCTATGACTAAATTCTTACATATAAATTAACTAAGAGCGCTCCATACGTGTTTGAATTGACGCTCCGAGCGACCCCAAAAGTGTTTGTTTCACTTTGGAGCGAGAACATAGAGCGAGCTCGACGTTCTCAGAGCAGAAGGATCGAGAAGATGGAGAAATTTGTCTTTGTCTCTACCTATCTTTTTTTAATTAACCTACAAAGTTGAATCTCTAAATTCGATTGAGACCAGTCCAGTGTGCAGTTAACAAATTATTTATCCGCTTTTGTCTAAAAGCTAAAATTATTCATCATAAGAAGAAATATAATGTGTTTGCAAAATACATTTTTACTGCTCAGATCTAATCTGTAGTAATCGCAGTAATGGAGTCTAAAAACGAAGCAGTCATTTGTGTATATGCAGAATTTCTGGGTCACTTTATTATTAATTTTTTTCCATTTTCTTCACTTTTTGTTTACTGTTTTGACACAGATACAAGAATTACAAAGATTAAAGCGAGGTTAGGTTTTTTACTCTGTTTTATTTGATTTGAGTCAATGCTCTATTATGACGTCATCACTTCTCGGTCTCCTCGACGCTCGTTCGATCCAGTTTCAAATCAAACGACCCTTTGGAAAATATCTGTCACATTGACATCTTTTAATCACTGTCCAGTTAACTGGTCGCCAGTATATTGGCCATATTCATAGTAAACACCAAGGTCCAGTTAAGATAACAATTTGAGTAAGTAAAACATTTTTAGGGCAAATTTTTGCCCTAGGCTCACTTCAAAACCTTCAATATATCGTCATAGAACCACCATTTCCAGGAACACTTATATTTAATATTGAAGTACGCGGGCTGTCAATAGAAATTCTTGTGTCCAGAAAACTGGATATTGACACTGAACCTGTTAGAAACCTTTTAAACATTAATAATAAACATTGAAGTTGTTTCTATTGTAAATTATTTGGACTTTCAACTAGACAAAAATTTCGATAGCCATTTTAACTATAAAAAAAAATATCTAAAAACTTTATTTATTTAGTAGAATTTCCCAAAATGTATCAACTGAGACCCAAATCACTTTATACAATAACACAATTCAGCCTAACTTTGATTATTGCGCATCTATTTTATGTTTATTAAATTTGAATTAAATGGGTGATTCTCGGATAACTGTGATTTTTTATGTCCAGTGTTTTATTTATCGTTTAGTATAAGTTTTCCTCATCAAAAAGTTAGAGGTATTTTACAACCGACATTATGAATTAGATCATAAACCTTCGTAATTTTTTTAAGCTGCATATAAATAATATACTTGAAATATTAGTACCGTGGCATGTCCGATTCTCATTTTTAAAATTAAATATTTAAATTTCTATCAAAATTCATTTTTTTATATAAAATTTACCTCTTATAACTACAATCTAATGCATACTGCATTGAATTTTATTACAATTTTATACCAATTTTTCGATTGGTGAAAAAAAATAATCATTTATATGTCAGTACCCTGGAAATAATGTCAGTACTGTGGCATTAAAATTTTTAAATTTTGTCACAGTTTTCGTTGTGTCGTAGCTGTAGTAGAACCACTTTACAAACTTATTTCTATGCATAAATCAAAAACAAAACGCGTAAAACATACGTTTTAAAACATACGTTTTAAAACATACGTTTTAAAACATTTTAAATTTTAGTAAAATGTAAGTTGTAAAAATCACAGTTAAACGAGAATCACCCATATATGTTTCAAAATCGTGGAATGAGAATAATCTGAAAACAAATTGTCTTACTTCAATTACATCAATGTTAAATGCTCTAAATTGGTATCTAGTAGAAAAAAATGTATTATTTTACAATGATTTTAGTATTTAAAGTAATAAATCATATAGGACCAGAATACTTTCAGCAACATATTACGTTTGACAATAATATCCATACTTATAATACAAGAGGTACAAATAACATCTACATTGCAATAACTACATATCAAAGTATTATGAATTCTGTGTTCTTTAAATGTTTCAAAAAATTCCCTTTATCTGTACGCGAATTGACAACTGTTAAAGTGTTTTAAAATTCAACTTTTTTTTTTTTTGGCAATACTGGACTTTGTTCATACCTTGTTCAAATAAAACATAATAAAATTGTCGTACTTCTAAAATATCTTCTGGTACAATTTTTCTTAGCTGGAAAATGTCTAAAATATGTTTAAAGTTAGGTACTTTATATCATTGCCACAAGAGCCCATTTCTTGATGACAGTCATCGCTTAAATTGGATGGTTTTTCTATATAAGAGTAGCGTTTTAAATAAAAGACACCTGAATATAATTAAATTTTGTCTCTGACATCTCTTCTGCTGACATTATATCCATTTACGTAGTTTTTTTTTATTTGAAACTTCATTTATGTATTTGTAGGAAATAAAAAAAAATTGACAATTTTTTTTGTTTACTGCATAGTACTTAAAGGTCCATTTGCACCACTAGTCGTTAAGAAATAAGCCAAGCTTAAAATGACATTTCTCCATTGACAATGATATTTTAAGCTTCGCTTAGTTCTTAACTACTAGCGGTGCGAATGGCCCATAGTCAAATACAAAACACATGACTAATCTGAAATAATCTAAGACACTGAAACAAAAAACAAAACAAATTACAGTCGTTAAACTAAATTATTGTAAAATTGCAAATAAACAAACAACATAACCTCAAAAATACTTTTATGCTTAAAATAATAGTAAATGATTTACCTTGGAGACGTTTTTCGGTAACAGTCGTTAAATTGACACATATACTTCTGATTGATTAGAATCGCAGTTTTAATTGAACAATTTTTAAAATTGATAAAAAACATCGAGATATAATGAAGTAGAGATGACATCATAAACAATATCGCGATATAACAAGTGGACGCACTTTGAGTCGTATTTTGATAAATTTGAAATTAATAATTTTATATTTGAAGATTGACAGAATGAATTCTTTTTTATTGTTTAAATCACGTTATTTAAAAAAAATATGGTATTTATTCCCATCAAAAATGCTTAGTACTTAGTATCTCTTTTTTATTTCAAGGTTCGCATGCCTCGCCCTACTTTGTAATGTCACACCTTCTTTATGTGAGATGCACAAATTAGTGTTGCCTCTCTTTTTAACTACAGGCATTTGCGAAAACCTCTGGTTCTCAATCAGCAATGCACCGACAGAGACAATTAAAAAATATTAAAATTGGAATTTATAATTTTATGTAATTTTAAAATAATATTTGAGAAACCGCCCCTGGTCATAAACATGCTGTGATCACGCCGTTTTATTACTCCGTTTGTTTGGTAATACTAGTATAGTAGCAAATAAATTTTATAGTTTTCTTCTATTACTATTTGATATTAATAATCTAAGGCATTGTAGGCCACATTGTTGAGACAATAAATTTTAATTCAGGATCCAATGCAGGTAGCGGAGCCGCGAGCTGGAACAGCTGGAACATGCCTCCCCAAAACAGTGCTTCAACAGGTCCCTCAGGTAAGATCAACATTAATTTAAATGAAAAAATTGTTATCAGCAGTTTTGGTTGTAGGTTACATTGCGGGAGATATGTATTCTAGGGGCCAGTCCGGCCCTGGAGGTCCAGGTACACCAAGCGGACCGCCTAATATGTCATCTTCAGGTACGAATTCAAAACCAGGATCGGATTACAACTATGCAGGTTACGGATCCTACTCAACTGAAGCAGGTTATGGTGCCCCACCCCGATCGTATGGCAGTGATGCAGGCTCCCAAGTCGGAGGATATTCGTCGCAACCCCCAAATCCAGGTGCTAAACATTTCAATGAATTTAAAGAGTGGCCCAGTTCTTGACAACCTTTTGATAATATTCTCTATACTGCCAATATGACTCCCACTCAGCTTCCGTTAACCAGCTGCGCTCCTAAAACCGGACGGATCTTTTATAACACTATCAAAACTTTCTACACTCCAGAAATTAAATATGTGGAGACTGAGGAGCCCGGCTGGGTAGCGGAATCTCCAGCGGGAGTCACATTGAGGCATGTCAGCAACTTAAATAATATGGGTATATGTTGTAACAGTTGGAAACGTGTTGGCTTGATAAACATGAAGAGAGCAGCCGGACTGGTCACTCCTGCCAAACTCAATTACTCTGATTAGACAGACAAATGATTGATTCACCGGCATCTTCACCATCTGTTAGTTTAGCATCACTGTTGTAGTTGATGTCCGCGACTGCACGACCGGACATACTATTCTCATTTTATAATAATTATTATTTTTTAAATTGATTAGTTTAATTATGAACATGAATCTAATAATTGATGGGCTATGAAAAACATCTAATTATATTTAACTAAGGAATTTTTATGCAGTCACAATAAACTCTGTGAGGTCAATTTTTAAGCAGACATTCTAATTTGATAATTATTTTAAATAGTGTTAATTGAAGCCATCACAGATTTTTTATATCTTATGTAGATTTTTACATTAGACTTGCGTATTCAAAAATAAAAAAGTTGACTAATAATTTCATGGATAACATAGATTTTGAGACTATTGTTCATAAATCTACATTTTTGGATGGGTTCTGTGATAATAATATATATATATATATAAAAATTGACATAGTTCGCTCATATAAACGAAAATATGACAAAATACACAGGGCATCCATGGAAGTAGTGCTTTCTTTCCACGTATGGATACAGATTGCTAATTTCAGTAAAATATTCTTATGTCAAAAAAAATATAAATGTGTTCTAAAAAACCTTGAAAAAATTTAACTGCAAACACAGTACGTAAATATTTAAATAATTTTTAGCTGTGACATAATTTTAATTATTTATTTAGTTATTAGAGAAATGAATGACTATGAAAAAATGAATACTTTTTTTGTTATAAAACATTAATGAAAGCAATATTTTCGTGGATTACTGTATAAGACTTTCAATTTTGTCATATTTTTGGAGAATACCAAAAATCTATTAAGATTATTAATAATTTTCCAGTTTAAGTCGAAATAAATTGGATTCTAATAATGGCTGTCTACTTATTAATTCTGGCATAATCAACTAATTTCAACTATAAGGTTATTATCAGAGATTATTAGATGCCAGTTTTATTATATTATATAAAATAGCAAAGACAATACTTTGCAAGTAATTTGGATAAATAAATATTTTATTTTTGTCTTTTTTTATTCAAACAGTAAAGATACATTAGTTGAAACTAGTAGCAGAGTATACATTATTGGACCCTTTTTATTAAAACTACTGGGACAAATGCAATTAAAGCTTAATTACTATAATAAACTGTTTAGATTAAATTTAAGATAAATTCTACTGCTTCACATTCTCCACTCAGTTATATCCCGGAGATAAAATTAAGTTTTTTTTTTAAGTTAGATGTTGGTATAGCCCTTCAAACAAATACCAGACTCTGTTTTTTATGGAAGATTATTCATATCGTCCTATAATATCAGACAGACAGAACTGTTGACTAATTTTAAGCACTGCTCAAGTTGTTATAAATTTAATATATTTAAAATAGTATATAAATCGAAATTTTTACCTCACCGATTTTGGATAGTTAGAATGTCTGCATGGTAGTCATAACTTTATAATTACTTTTTATTATTTTATACTTGACAATTGTGATTCCTACTTTAGTCAGTAAGTATTCATTTTAAAGTTAGGTTGAACGCATTTACAATAGTTATAATGAACATTTTCGTATTAATTTATTGTATTCTACAAATAGTTTGATATTGAGATACTTTTTTTTTTATATAAGTTCATTGTTCTCTAGTCTGTTCTATGTTGTATCAAATTATAAGTGGTCTAGTTTGTACATACATATAAAACATACTTATTTTTATCTAAGTTATTACCTTTAGTCTTACCGGCAGACAGTCTAATTTAAGGGTTCATAAGAAATTTCTATAAGTTAAGCTCAATATCTTATTCAGTTTGATTAATTAAATTAAAAGAATCATGTGGTAACTCTAGTATATCTTTAGAATTGGTTGTATATAATAGTCCATCTAATGTTGTTTTTTTCATGTTTTTTGTTATTTTTATCGTCGAATTGCAGTTTTCCATTTTTTTTATTTATTATGAATTATGAAAATAAATAATTGATATCTGATTTTTCTTTTGCCTTCAATAGGGTTGCATGCAATCGACTGTCATCTTTATATGCTTTCTTTAAATAATTTGGCATTTGCAGTCATCTTTTGTTTATTACTTTACAATTGTTTTTTTGTTCATCGATATTAAAGTTTGTTTAGGTCATTCTCAAACTTCATAAAAAGCCGTGCCCATTTTGAAATCTCAACAAAAATTAAGCTTAATTTATTGTCTATAACTTAATTTTTATTTTTCTCTTGTGAACATTATTGTTTGGCATTTAACGAAAACTTTTTATAAATTTTGGTGAGGATGATTAAATTTGTCATAATTATTACAAGACAGCTAAATTTCAATAATAAATTATCTAAAAACATATTGAACCATATTGTGTTTGAAGGCGTATGTTCAAAAACATGACTTAATTTGGGCAACAGTCAATATTAGTAAATATTTTTTTGGTAATACGGATTATGACAAGAATATTGCTAAAACATTCAATGTAAGATTGCGATTATAAGTAATACAATGTTGGAAGTAATTTTATTTGTTTTCACTTGTATTAGGTATGTGTCGTTTAAATTCTTATTAAGGATGTTAAAATCATTATCCTCAGACTTTTGCAAGTTCTTGTTTATAATATTTCTTGTTTTGATAAATCTGTATTGGACAATTGCTTGCAAACTAAAATATAGTGATCAGCTTTAATATTTTTATTATTTTATCTGTAGTCACATCATCATTAAATGAACCGCAGTTCATTGATTCAATTTGGGTCCTTTACCTTGTTAGGTTATTGATAAAAATATTGATTCTTTTTTAAGGACATTGCTCTTTCTAATATTTTATATTTAATCATAAAAATATTAAATTGGGCAACATTTGTATAAGGTAAATATATAATTAAAATAGAAAACAGTATATCAAATTTAAAAGACTGAATATTTTACAATTTGTTTAAGCAGAATTCTGCATTAAGTGTCAAAAAAACAATTGTACCTTACGATTATCATATTAAATATTCTGCTCTTTATATACATATATTAATCATAATAATATGAAAAAAATCAAATCGATTTTTGACCATCTGTAACAATTTTCTGTTTACTGATTTTGTTAACAAATTTCAATAATTATTTATCAAATATTGTTTAAAACTGCTTACATCATTTTAGAACAATGACGAACATGAACTTTTCTGCTTAACATTTTTTTGGGAAACCAATAAAATGTTCTGAAGAATATAATATGATATCACGTTTAAAATGATGTCTCAGAAATAAATTTCTGAAACTAATAGAGTAACAAAATATTTGTAAAAATTTATTGAAATGTATGTTAAAACACTTATTTCAAACTAGTGAATTTAGAAATAAAAAAATGTCATCTGTGATATAAATATTTAACTATATTAGTCGGATTCCAAATTGAATCATTGGCAAAGTCTCTTATTTACGGTGTGAATGATGTGACTAAAGAAAAAATCTTTAATAGTGAGTTTTCGAGAACTGATGTTTAAATAAAAGTGCTCGAATTAAATTTTTAATTTTTAATATTGTTTATTTGTACAGATTAATTTTATCATTTTAGTGGTTTTTATACAAATTAATTTATTATCAATTATATTTTTAGAGTAATTAAAAGACTAAATCATAACTAGATTAAGACTATATTAAGTAGAATGGTTGTGATTTATGAATTAAATATAAAGACTTTGTGAAATGTGAGCCACAACTGTGACTTCTTATATTTTATGGCATAATTTTTAATCGAAATTTATTAATGAAGGATTTTCAAAGTTTTAACATAAATATCGGTAAGCAGGGTATTTCTTATATTATTTATATTTAATTAAGTTGCTTGTCAACAGTACCTATATATTGTATTTTGAATAATTTTCGAGTTTTGGTTTATACATTCATTGTTAAATTGATTTTAATTTTTCACAAATTTGCTTTTGCTGCTTATATTTCTTTTTTTTTGAATAAATATAACAAAAATATTTGTAGGAAAGTAGTTTCTTGCCAGTTATATGAGAAACTTTGATTATAAAAAGTTAGCAGTTTAGTATAATATGTACTTACATGTTAACTTTTGTGAGGTTTAGTACAAATATTCCTAAGTGCAACTAAACAATCGAGGTGGGCCAATAAATACAGCATACAATAGTTTTGTTTACAATAGTAGCGTTTAAAGTAAGAAATATGTATTTAAATTTAACAAAAAACTAGGACAATGGAAAAATAGGACCAGCATATTAAAAAAATAAGTGGATAATTTTTTTCCATATATACAGGGTGAATCTTAAGATGATACTTTTTTAACTGTGTATAGAAGTCATTCAAATAAATTTTTTAAAAAAGCTTAAAAATAAGACGCATTAATTTATTCCTAAATACATCCGTCCTTCTAGGGATTAACAACAGATCGAAAATGCGTATTTCGGAAATTGTTAATTCCAATTCGTGTGAATGTTGATTTTTCCATAGCTAAAACTTTTGTCAAAAAATTCATGCCGTTGTAAGAACCAATCACAAATCTGAACTCTGTGGGGGAAATCTTCAAGTGGTTGTGCTTGAAGACGTGAAAGGGATGTAATTGTAATGTTGTTTACACTTTTCTTTGACTTCCACCTGATTCGCAATCACCAGAGCACTTGTCAGATCTTCATCGATAACATTTTAAATGTGTTCTTTGTCGTATCGGTCTTCCCGCAAATCACCCGTACCCTTAGCCCTTGAGTCAGATTAATGTAAGTTCTGGGGCAGGATGGTCTTGCAAGAGAAGGCAGTGATGTGGCAGCTGCACTTTGAAGACACTCGCAATAAATAAGCAACAGTCATGAAAAATTTAAATTCACTACTTCAGATAAACACGCGACTGAATTAATATGAATGGTACACAATGAAGCGTGAACAACGGAAAAAAGGTAAAATAGATAAAAGCAAATATACTTCTCATTTAGCTTAACTTTTCATACACAAGTTCAGACCCGGATTTATATTTTTGAATTGTGTCTTATTTTTGAGTTGTTTGATAAAGATGCTTATTTTAACGACTTCTATGCGCAGTTAAAAAAAAAGTATAACCTTACGAATCGCCATGAATCTCTAGATTCAAACGAAAAATTTCGAAATATGTATAGGTTTAACAATGGAATATAGTCCCTGCTCCGAGTAGGTGTAGACAATAGAAACCTATATTCACGATGGATAAACAAATAATGAATTACAACACTCTATAATGGCTCCTCTTCCATTTTATTTTAATGGTAACTTAGAGAAGTAATTAAAGTAAATGTTCTGCTGCGACGCAAGGCACAATAGAGTGTTATAGTTCAGTATTTAAATACTCGTCATGCAATTCTGTATTTTTTTTTTAGTAACTTGCTCCTTTGAGAAGTGCGTATAATGCATTGTAAAACCTAAATTCCGAATTTGTAGCTATTAATTTATTTTTTTATGGGTTAGTTTATTTAGTGGCCATCTTGTAATATATTTTAATGGTAAGGCAGATCGATAATAGCAATAATATTAAGGTAGTGAATAAAGTACGGTGTGGTCACATTTCATCATTGTGTTGTAATTATAATTATTACTGAAAATATAAATATTTGCAAAGTTATGCAAAATACTGATCCAAAGGAGGCAAAGCATTTTTGAAAATAAGCTAGGTTAACAGTAATTTAAAAATCAAGGAAAATTATATTTAGTGTATAAATATTCTGTCTGTCTGTATTTTGTCTGTCTATCTAATCACATGGTAATTGATGTTTTTTTTTTTAACTTACATTTATGATTAACTTTTGAGTGTGACAATCTATTTTAAGCAATGTTCTATAGTATCATAGATGTTTTCTAGTTTTAAATCAAAGTATATCTTTGGTTGACACAGACCAATACTAGAAGTTAAAAAGATTCGGTCTTTAATTATATAATAGTATAAAAATAACTAATGATATTGACAAATTATGAAAACAAAATGATCGAATTGTATTATAGCAGAAGCATTTTAAACTTGCGCCTTCAATTAGAAGAACTTTATTCTTAGCTATTTCACATAAGTGCTAGATAATTGTTTAAATATAACTAGGTGAGTTGTATGAGCATTAAATCGTAGACACTAGTAATATTAAAATCATTTTCAATATCACAATATTCTGGTGTGCAAATGGTTATTTTTGAGGACTTCTCTTGTTTCTTACCTAAATTTCATTGAATTTTAAATGGTTCTATTAAAAAATGTATTAAAACTTTAATTAATGACTTTAACAACTAAGATGAATAACAAATTGAATAAAATAGTTTATATGTTTATCTTTTTTGGCGGAATCAAGCAACTTCTGTTGAGACCAAAAATGTTATACTTTAGGGATCTTAATAAATTCGTAAAATGTAATTTTTCGTGATAGTCAAGTAAAAATAATATTAAATTTTCATAGTATTGAAAATTTTGACATCCCCATTCAAAATTCGTTGAAAAAGTGAATTATTTCAGGTGAGATACTTGAGAGTCCTATCGTAAAATTATACATAGTCCTAAACTAATTTTCATCAATTAATTAATTGAGAAGATCATTTTAAATTATTTACGAACATTGTTCTGAATTTTTATTATTTAAAAAAAAAAACTAATAGAAATATGTTTACAAACTAGAACATGCTAATTATTTTTATAAATTTCACAGCAGAAATTATCGTAATATACGTTTTCTATCATATTTGAGATAATTAGCGGAATTCATTTTTTTTTTTTTTGTAAAAAGTTCCGTATTGGAAATAAAAGAAAGTTTTATCGATAAATAATTTACAAAAGTAAAATATGTATGCTGTAAAATTAAGACTTAATATATTAAAAATTAGCTCCAAAAAGGTGCCTATTTGATCATCATATTGTAATTATTTTGTATTAGACAATGCACACTTTATAGTTTTAGAATAATTATAACATTAGAACAATTCGCAAGATGTTTTTCAAACATTTTACTCGATAGGAATGAAATTGACTAGAATTATGTATGTCTTTTTTTCAAAAAATAAGTACAAATGTAGGAATGATATGATTAAAAAAAATATATGGTATTTTTTAATGGTTGGAAATTTTTTACTTCTGTAAATTTTTGTATTGATAAAACTTCAGTAGAAAATAATCTTCCTATTAGAAGTAATTGATATAGTCGGTAGTTAGTCGAGTTTTAAATAATAGCTATATTACGGGTCTAATGGAAAAGTTGTTAGGACTATATTTATTCCCTTTCTTACGTGGTGGGGGAGAGTTGCTGTATATATAAAAATATGAATCGTCTACACTATTATAATAATCGACACATTTAACTTTATACTGCTCACTATCATCTTTGCATTATATATTTTCTTTTTTCGGTTTTAGAAAAAAAAAAAAAAGGGAAAGTACAAGGTAATATTTAGAATTCGCGATTGATTGTTACTCTAACTTAAATCTAAATGCTTGATAATTATTAAATTACTATAACACAGGGTGATACTAGTTACAGAGTAGTAGCAAATTCTTCATTGGTCAATATTTTCTAAAAATTCTTACCAAATTTATAAACATTTTACATTGAGTTGACAACATTTTTTTTTTAAATTCAAAGTAAAAAATATTAAAATACAATAATTGCGGGTGTAAAAAACATTGTTTATAATTTTGGTTAGAATTTTGAAGCTAAGGTCCAGTGTGCCTACATGCAGAAACTCTACCAATTGGTAAAGATATAATAATTAGTTTCTGGGTAGTTAGAAGTTGGGGCGTGTTATAAAAGATTTTCCTTGAGAGTATGTAGATGATTCTATATCTATACAACAGAGTAATAACTGTTCATTGTACACACGAATATATTAATATACATTTATGCCGTTAATCCAAGCGTATTATTTGAAGTACTTGTAGTTTTTAGACATTACATTAATACAAAATAAATCTACAATTTAATGATAAATTATTTATAAATTGTATTTTATATTACATTACTGCTATAGTTAATTGAATTGTTAGTGTAATTATAAATTTAAATAGAAAGTTAAAATTAGAACAATTCGACTGATGTACAGATACAGAATAAGTTTTAAATTAAAGAGAAAAATGTACAATAAAACATCATAAATACCTAGGGCCTTTAAATATAGTGCAATGTCTCATGTGGTTTTTATCTAGGAAAATAGTTGATTACTTAAGATATTTTCATAATTTCTAGAATAATTTTAAATTAGGCGTATGTGTTTCTTCAAAACACACACTGACTTTTGTAAAGTATTTGTTGCTCAAAAGATATTATTTTGTATTATGTTAACTGTAAGTGATCCTGCGTCTCAGCCAATGCTCTGAATAAAGAAACTGTATATTTAATATATGAGTGTGACTTGTGTGTGTTGAATTGTTTTCTAATTCTTAAGTCTGATAGTTAATTGAAAAACGTGTTATTTATTAATTAAGTAAGTGTTAAATCGCATAACTTGTCCCTCCTTTAACTTCTTCATTCATGCTCTTTGATATAATCCTCTACCACTGTATAAATTTGAGCTTGATAGATTTGTATGTATTTCACCAACTGCAATTGCAAGCAATCTCCAGTCTGTTAAAAATATTTATGGTAAAGGTTGTCGTGGTCATTAATTTTTAGTAGTAATTGTTATGAACAAATACCTTGTTCAGAAATAACTGTTTTAAGAAAATTACATAATAAATATATAAATATTATATATATAGTAGTGCATTTGTAATGGGGTAGTTTATATTAAATATATTTAGCTTCAATTAAGATGTTTATTAGTTAATATAAAAATACTTACAAAACAATGTACCTATCACATCTCTATATGAGAAAATATAACACATAAAAAATTTGTCGTCTGTTTTTCCTCCACCTCTAGTTTTAATTTAGTTTTTTAAGAATCTTATTAAATTCTACACTAAAGAAATAATAATTTAAAAATAAAAAGAAATTGGATAATTTGATAAAATAATAACTCAAGGAATATTGTGCAATTAACATTATTTTGAATTCCCGGTTGTTTGTTCCCTCAAGTAGTGTGGAATCAACGAAATAATTATGTTATTTTTATGGAAAAAAAAAAGTGAATTAAAACGCATTTTTTTAATAATTAATATTTTTGCTTAACGTTTCAGTTTTCAAATTTCTCTTGCTTCATCACTTCAATTTTGTTTGTTCTTAAATCTTAATTTTCTGATCACGTCTAATTTTTTTCTTATCAGTATTTATTGTTTTATTTAGATCTAATCTTTCTTGGAACGGGCCTTTAAGATTTGCATTCTATTGGCGCAACCTTTATTTTATCCTAAAAAGTGTCATATTTTGTTAGATAAATTGCCAATGAGTAGTAGCTTGATAATTATGGAAGAGTATAAGGGTGGCAAAATATTTTTTTCGGTCTTAGAACTCAGAATAACTCGGAAAAAATGTCTATATATAGTTGTATCCTTCTATAGTGCGAGACATACTGAGAATGCAGTGTAAAGTCTTATGAAATGCGCCCTTGCCAACCGTCGCTATGCTTGGATCGGTTAAAAAAGAACAGATTCGGTCTAAGGCAAATTTCGACACGAGTTTAATTTTTTTCTCAAAATTTGTATGTTCAATAATAAATATTGAATTTCAAAATTACAAATTTATAAGTTAACAAACAAATTTTACGCAATAGATGTAAGTCATCGTCCAGGTCTAAAATTTACTCTTATAATGAGTCCATCAACGTTGTCTTGGAGATTATCAGCGACCATTTCTTTTCCGTTTTTTTTCTGACATGCAATTACGCCAATTTTGTTCAGTGACACATTCAAATACTTCATCTACCAATGAACGAACATCCTGTGTCTTATCTATAGTTATTTATAGCAATATAAGCGCTTCACCGGATTTCATACCATCTCGATCGGGTTGAGCTCGCAATGGTACGGCGGTAAGCGTAAAACAGTTACCCAGTATTTTGCAACTATTTCCTCAATCTTATATTTGTCGTATTGCTCTCTGTATTCGTTGGCAACTTCAAGCAGCTCAGATTTTAAATAAGAGTTAAATAAAATGTTTTGTTTTTAAACGGCCAATTTTTTATTTCGGTTTTGTTCCATGAGATAGCTGGAAAACTAATTTATGGGAATGAAGCGTTATCCATAACAACAACAACAACAACGTTCTTTCGTCCGTCTTTGGGTAAGTTAGGAATCGGCGACTCCTCAAATCATTGCTCAAAATAGTCGGCGTTGATTTCGTCATGATAATCGCCATCGTTTTTCTTTATCAAGAAAACACGGGCAGCGCCAGGTAAAAATCCACCTTCATGAAGAATAACGAAACGTGGACCTTTTGTGTAGGTGCTTTGATGCCTGTGGTTAAAGGTTAAACCCTTTATAAAAGCATATCTACGATGATTTTTTTAAATGATAACATTTTATTTCATATTTGGATGATAGGGACTAAATAAATTTTAATTTTTATAATTTCAATATATATAAGGCGACAATTTAAAAACTTAAAATAGTTATATCTAGAGAACCAAAGATGATATGAGAAAATGCTTCTAGGGTACGAAGTGGGAACTTATTTGAGAAAACTAACCCCCCCCTTATGTCCCATTACCCCCAACATAAATAGATAAGGAATGTAACATATGTGACACCATTGAAAATGTATTTTTTTTAATGCTGTATTAAGCGAATACCCCGGGGAAAAGGGATATGCAAAGTAAATTTATTAGTAATTACACCAATTAACATAAATAAATAGAACATTGCATACTAACTTCATTTTGAAGTTACCTAGAGCATTGAATTACTAATAAAATTAGCTCTCATATGAGGTGTCACAATTTTGATTATGTAACACTTTTTCCACAAGAGGGAGGTAAAATTAACAATTGTGTTATTAATTAGTGTTGCTTTTCCAAAAAGTACCTTTTTTCTCAGATTGACATTAAATGTCACTTTTGGTGACATTTCTTGGTCATGGAACACTTTTACTGCCTAGGCATTAAAAATGTACTTTTTCTCTTTTGAAATCTTTCTCTGCATGAGCATCCGGCCAAAAAAGTTACTCTAACTACAAATATACTAAGTATATTTGTATAAGAATTAAAGGTATATAGTTATAAAAACAACGATTAGAATTAGTAATAAAAACGCGTAAGTTATAATCTGTTATACTTAAAAGAGGTTTTCATTTTAGTTCCATTTTTTAAACACTGTATAAACAATCTGGGAAAAAATTATGTTCCACACGGCGGAGAGACAGATTTACTGCCTTGGGTAGCCACAGCAGTAAATCTGTTATTTCTCTGCATAGTTAAACAAATAACTATTCTTTGATACACTTTGAACGTTACCTATCTAAATTTTAAGTTGGGGATGATAATGGAGCGTGGTGGTTAATGGAGTGAGTTCTCTTATGTGATTTAAGTTCCCCTTCGTATCCTAGAATTGGTTTCAGATCATCTATAGTAAATGAGATATAGCAATGTAACTTTTTAAATTATCACCTCGTATGTAAATGTTATGGTTTTTTCGATAGATATTTTAAAGATTTTTTCAAAAATACATTCTAAAAATTATTCACTAGTTATATACCAGAGAACAGAATATTACTTTGACATCAAACAGAAAACGAAAGGTATTGGATTTACTTGAATGTTTGAAACATTAAATTTTATCGGGTTGCCAAATAAAAGAGGATATTGTAAATTCGTAGGAATGCTTTTGTGGTACTTCATTTTTTTTTCGATGGCTATGCGCCTGACAGTTACTGTTATCTAGTGGGTGTCGTCTCTTATTTTGCTACCCTGTAATAAGTAAGTACGACTCTGTCTTGTACAGAAATATTTTTCAAAAGCTTTTTTGTAAAAGCTTTAAAAATGCCTATCGAAAACCATAACATTTGCATAGTTATAAAAATACTTTTTATTTAGTCCCTATGATCCAAAAATGAAAGGATGTTCAGGTTGACTCATTGCAAAGTTTGTATATACTGTCAACATAAATACTGTAATTTTTAGTACAAACATTCGATGTGATATTTTAAGAAGGTATTGCATTTCTAATGTTATAATTTATCAACCGCTTCGGTATGAACGTACTGTAAGTATACACTCATATACAAACACATTTGTCTGATTCTGAGTTCTAATTCGGAAAAATAAAAAATATATTGAGGCACTTCTACGCTTCCGTACATAAAATAATGATTTCAAATTATAAAAAATAAACAATTATCATTTATCTATCTCAAAACTATCTATTTAGTTCGTTTCATTCAGGATATATTTTAATACGCAAAAACTTTTACATAATCATTTTCATCTTCCAAAGAGTTGAATATAGAATTCTTTATTTTATTCTTTTCAACTTTGTGTTTTTAAAATTACAGGTTTACTGACACGATTGTCATTAGCAAAAAATACACCAGCGCTATCTGGTAATTCTACAGTGATATAGAGGATTACACTGAATGCTACTGAGTTTTTTTTATTAATAATTAAAGTATTTAGAGTATTTTAATAATTATTTCATAAGTAATTTTTGTGCCATCTTGGTGTAAGGAAAATTATACAAAAATCTTGTTTCGAATACAAATATATAGGTAAGGAAAAAGTATACGAGCCGTACAGTGTAGTTACGTCGATCTATTCGAATTATTATATTCGGATCACGTGGGAAAGCATCGTAATCGAATCAGTCAACATGTACAATACATTTTAATTCTACAGTTCATTTTTCATTTCATTTACTGCTCGGTTTTCACACGATAACCTACGCTGTTGCAGGTAAGCCATTTGATTTAAAAATTCTGTAAGTATTCATATAATTTTATTTTTATACTAAACAGATACTAATTTTGGGAGTAAATTCGTAGACGAGGTAATGTATTTATTGGGGTGAATGAAAATCGGCCAATTTCAAAGCATTCTACAATTAAAAGAATTATTAAAAACATCTTTGGATGTCTACAAAATTATCATCATGATGAAAAGCGTGAAAATCGGGAACTTTAAGTCTATTTCATTTCTGAAATCGGGTTATCATATGAACAAGTTGACATTGGGCCCAGATTTGTACGAAATTACTGAAAAGATATGGGTATCATTGCTTTAGAGTCCAGCAAACACAAGAAGTGTTTGCTGAGGACAATTTCAGAACGGATGGAGTTCGAGAAACTCTGGGGTTTTCTTAAAGAAGAAATCTATAGATATCAATGGCAAAGATCTACTAATATTGCTTATTTACGGGGGTACCACTGTAGAAATATTGCACCAAACCAACTTAGAGATATGGGTGTCTCTATAACAGGTTTGACTATTGTTCAGTAGAAGATGGTGGAATATTTGAACCTTTTTCTTTTCAAAATTTTTTATTTATAATATATACAATATACACATAACAATTCGAAAACATATACTTAGCAGGATATCTTTTTAGTAGAGACCAGGAAATGTTCCGAAGCTGCTATGGTTTCAAAGGAGGCCATGACAGGCGCGGCTCGTTCAAAGGAACACAAGCGCACGTGCAACCTTAGAAAAATGTAAAGTTTTAAATAAGTTTTCAATAAAATAAAAGAAATGAATTTAATGGACTTTATTGCTTATAAGTAAAGTCCATTCTTCTGTTTTTATTGCACATGTGCTCCTGTGGACGAGCCGCGCCTGGGCCATGACCGATGTCTTGGCCGTGAATTAAAAAGTTATTCTCTATAATGAAATTAAAGTGAGTTATCCTTGTTAGT